TCCCAAAGATGCCAGGGCACATTCACTTACTCATTATTTCAGCAGAAATGGGGGAATTCTGGTTGTCATCAGGTAAATCTATCTATCACACCAAGTGACTATATCTTTTTGTTAGTAAATGGGAAGTACTGCTGGGGAATTATACAACTCTAAGGTTGATGATGAAGAAATTGAAATTGTTCAGGATTTTCTATACCTTGGCTCCATCATCCACCAAAAGGGCTCCATCATCCACCAAAAGACACCCAAGAAATCAGAAGGCGATTGAAACTGGGGAGGTCAACCATAAAGGAGCTAGAAAAGATCCTTAAGTGTAAGGATGTGTTGCTGGCAACCAAGTTAATTCATGTCTTAGTATTTCCCATTTCAATGTATGGATGTGAAAGTTGGACAATGAAGAAAGTTGACAGGAAGAAAGATTCTTTCGAAATGTGGTGCTGAAGGAGAATTTTACAGATACCATGGACTGCCAAAAAGACAAATACGTGGGTTCTAGACTATGATCAAGCCTGAACTCTCCCTAGAAGCAGAAATGACCAAACTGAAGCTATCATGTTTTGGTCACATTATGAGAAAACAAAACTCACTGGAAAGGACAATAATGCTAGGAAAGGTTGAAGGCGGCAGGAAAAGAGGAAGACTCAACATGAGAGGGATTGACTCAATCAAGGAAGCCATGGCCCTCACTTTGCAAAACTGAGAATGGCTGTTAACAACAGGATATCTCGGAGGACATTAATTCATAGGGTCACCATAAGTCGGGAAGCAACTTGGCAGCACTTAACGCACACAGGAACTACACCTGCTAAGATTATAATTCATTGACTGAATGAGTAGCCACAGAAACTTGGTATTCCTAGAAAGGGATAGACAGACCACAATTTGCCCAGTAATTAAAAGATTAATTTTAACCCTTTTATGTTAATAATAACTTCAGGCCATTTTCTCCCCAGTGCTGCTTTTTATCAATGTATTTTAACAACTACAACAACAAACCAAAAGCCCTACTTGAGGGCAACCCCTGTCCTTTCCACTTCAAACAAACTGAAATGGCGGTTGCAAAAGAACACTCGAATATACCGAATTAATCAATTGTGAAGGGTTTTTTTCATTTTTCAGATATCCTAGATTATCTGCTGTTATGTATATGTTTAAACTCAGATTTTAGATTAAAAATAACAGCTGAAAGATGCACAGGTGAAAGCCAATACTATCATCTTGCTATTTGTTTGATTTTACATATTCTCAGACGATTTAATACCCTTGCTGACATTTACTTATTGTTTCTGGAGAATGTTCTTTCATTTCCATATTATCTTAAATCATGCTTTTGTGCCTGTGTGTATGTGATTTTAATTCGGATATTTCATCTGTCTCTCCCTCCTCACCCCCAGATTTTCTCATAATAGTTTTCCTTAATAAATTCTGGTTAGTGTCTTAATACAATCACACCTGGAAGAGACCAAAAGATCTCTACTCCAAAGTAAGACAAATTGGCCTCCAAAGATTAACCCATGTAATCTAAAACACAATATGCACACATACCCATACATGTTGTTGTTGTTCAGTCGCACAGTTGAGTCCGACTCTTCACGACCCCATGGGCCACATCATGCCAGGCCCTCCTGTCTTCTGTCGTGCTCTGGAGTTTGCGGAGGCAACAAACATGAAATTAAGTATCTCCGGACCAAACTCATACATCTGAACCTTCTAAGACTTCTTATAGAGCAGTAGATACAGATGATCATGAAAGTCAAACATTGAAGAGAGGTGCTATTGATTTCAGATTTGTTTTTTGCCCTAATCTCTGCAGTGTTGCCTATAACACTCCTTGGGAATGCTTGAATATATACTGCCTTTATATGGATACATGCCATGTTCCTCCTCCCAAAGTTGCAGCATCTTTAATGAACTATTAAATACTGCACTCATAATAAATTACTACTGGTTAACACTAAAGTAATTCTGTGGGCAGACAAAGGCAGAGTTAGTCAATTGCTTAAGCCACAATGTTAATATGCTATGACAGTGATAGGGAAATTAGTTAAATTGGGGTAGTTGCTGAGTAATGGTAGAATTTCCACCTGTGCAAGAGAATAGAAACCAAAGCAAAAGTGATTTGTTTGCAGCAGATTTTACACACTATTATATAGCAATACTTTCTTCAAATTTTGCTTACTGAAGGCCCAGAAGTAACACTGAATAAGTACTTATCATAAAATTTTAACTGTGACATTCCCACACAGACTATTTGGCTCTTCAAAGCACAGCATGGTTATAACAGTATTAGGTATACTGTTATAGAACGGAGAAACAATATGACTTCCACGGATTAACACAAATACCACTCATCTCTGCCTGCAAATTCAAACTGAATCTTCTAACATTTTAAAACACTGACCCATTCCAACGATGCAGATTTAGTAAAAAAAAAATCCTCTATCAATTATTTCTATTTGTCAGCAAAATTCCCCATTCCCCCCCCCCCCCCCCAGAGGCATGCACTGTGATCATATGCAAAAGCAGGCCTGCTGCCACAAGTGGCATTTGGGGGCAAGAGCCCCACAGATTAGTACTACCCCCTCAGACAAAAAAAAAAATTCTTTGAAAATTAAAAAAAATTTTTTTTAAAGGGTAAGATGCACATGGGGTGTTGAATACGAGACTTGAGGCAGCAGGTGAACAGTGATAACAGCTTTATTCAACAAGTTAGAAGAAATCAGAACGAGACAAACAACAGAGCAACAAGCTCCTTTTTAAACAGTCCGGGCTTGGCAAGCCATGCCCCCATGTCGGATAACATCCAATCAAATACTGTACATAAAGACCAATCAGTTTGCTTCCCTCCAGAACTTCCATGGTTCTGATAGGTTGGTTTTCAATACCTTACATCAGACTCAAGCTCAATATACATTCATTCCATTCCATACATAACATGGGGTTTCCAAAATGGCCCTGGGCACAGTCAGGGAAACTTCAGTCTCGTTTTTTTTCGGGCCAAAAAATAAATAGTTTTTTAAAAATGCAAATAAAATAAAATTGCAAAGAAATAAAATAAAATTGCAAAATACAAAAGAGTCGGAGATCTCCCCCCCCCCACATAGAAAAGCAGCCCAGAATTGAGTCTCTCCAAACAAAAGGACTAGAGGAGGATTAGAGACTGCAGCAGAGCTGGAGCTGCTGCTTCTGCAAGAGGAGCAGGAGGTGCGGCTGGCCACACCGATTTCCCCACGCCCCACCAAACAAAATTTTCTGGCTACGCCCCTGTACTCCACTAGACACCAGGACTATTTTTGGGCAGGAACTCACAGGAACGGAGTTCCGGCTGGCTCCCAAATTGGCCATGCCCAGCAGGAACTCATTAGCATAATAGGCCACGCCCAACAGCAGAAATTCATTAGGATTGGCTACATTAGGGGGGTGTGGCCTAACATGCAAAGGAGTTCCTGCTACAAAAAAAGCCCTGGGTTTTGACAACAAACAAGGTAAACAGAATAACAAGCAAAAGGTGTGTGTGGCTGGATAACCACACTTCTGGTAACATGGGGGTGTGGCCTAATGTGCTGATGAGCTGTGATGGCAGGGGTGTGGCCTAATATGCTAATGAGTTTCTGGTGTTAGGTGTGGCCTATTATGCTAATGAGTTCCTGCTGGGCTTTTTCTTCAAAAAGAGCCCTGCTAGACACTATTTTGTTAAAGTGCTGGGCCAGGGTGTAATGTCTAGATTTATTTATATAAGAAAATTTATATGCCACCTCTCTATACCTGTTCAAGATGGCTCCCAAAATCAAAATAATACAATAATAAAGTGTAATACTTATTAATAACAGTGTGTCAAACAGCATAAACCAATATTGTTAATTTTATGTATGTAAAGCAGTGGCCTGCAAATGCATTGCTTGTGTGTATGGGGGTGTTGTGTAAAGGGCACTAGTTATGAGCCATCTTTACCCCTGAACCCGTATTTCAAAGACAAACTCACCTAGGAAACACAGGTAATTGAAATCCAAGATCATGTCTAAAGTACCTTTTCTCTTCTGCAAGTAAAGCCAGAGGGAAACGTGCAGGCCTGGATGAGATTCTAGATCTTGGTTCCCCGTCACACTTCAGGGGCTGCCCCTTTTGACACTAAACATTGTGAATGAAATATTTTGGACGGAAGTTAAGCGACCGGCAGTGTAAGAGCAGACGCAGTTATATCCTTCTAAGCATAGTGGAACTCTTTGTAGGGATTGCTCTGTAACACAGCTCTACATGAAGGAATCTCTCTGCAAGGGCACGTTTTTCCCGGTCTCTGAGATGTTGTTTCCTCCAGGGGAGCCAGGATTGTGCACATGCAAATTTTCCACTTGGCAGAGAAAGGCGTGGCCCTGGAGGGGTGTAGTTGCGAGCGGGGTTAGGCACGTCTTCGAGATGGCCTATGGCTGTATTGTCTACGCTTGCCTACTACCGGAGAAGAAAGTAGACAAATAAACGTGTTTAAGGACTGCGTGACAGGAGTACGTGTGTTTGTTAAAGCCTCGTGTCCTTGTGCGACACCTTAGGGGTGTAGACGTGGGCACACCTAAACACATCCTGGTATTTTCATAAGTATGAGCACACCTAAACACATCCTGGTATTTTCATCTACGCAAGCTGAGTATGAAACTAGTTAAGAGGTGTTGGCATAACCACATTGGATCCGGAGTAAGCAGTGTGCATTCGCACGCCTAAATCATTGTTCAGAAGGTTTTCATGAAGCAGGAGAAAATGTTCCGTGGGCGGCAGGGTGCGTTTGCCTAGCTGGTGTTTCGTACGACTCGGTAGGCTGGGAGTTTCTTTCGCGGTGTTGGGTGTGAGCAGAGTTTGTTCTTGGGCTGGAGTTGGACGGTTCTCCCCTTCGCTCTTTCTCTCTGTGTGTAACGTACAGCTGAGAGGGCGGCGGGCTGTGGCCGGGCGGAAGTGACGGTCGTTTCACCTGCTGGGCTGTGCAGGGAAGGAGGCGGAGAGTGTCCGTTGGGAATTAGTCACTCAGGAGCTGCTGGTGTCTCGGTGGCCGCCGACGGTTGCTCTCCTCGCCATGGAGTCGTCGCCACTGCTGCGCTTGCTCTGGACTCTCTTGCTCTTCCGTGCAGGTAAGTGGAGTGGTTTGTTTGTGTGTGTTGGTGTGGTTTTTTTTAAAGGGGGCACCCCTAACTCCAAGACCCCTTCCCTCCCCCTCCCCGGCCCTTTCTAAGCTGTGACTCCATTTACTCGTGAGTAATTGTCTTTCAGTCCCTCTTGCCGTGCGCCCCGTCAGTTTCTGAGCCCCTCTTTCTCTTGGAGACCGTGGGAGGCTTCTGAACAAAGGCGTGTGTGGGTCTGTTTGTGAACGTGGCTGCCTTGGAACCACTTCGCGGCTGGGAAGCGCAAAGCCTTCTGTAGTCTGAAAAGTAGTGCAGATAGGGTGCTGTTTTCCCCCCTCAGGGGGTGGTGATGGAGGGAAAAAAATGTTGCTCGTGTCTCTGGCTGGTACGAAGTCGCTCCTTCGCCTCACAGTTTGGTTTCAAATCTGAGGTGCGACTTCTTTTCGCCCCCCCCCCCTCCGAATCCCAGGATGCGGCCGCTCCTCCCCAGCTCTGCCAGGGAGAGAAGTGGCAAAAGAGGAATCGCGACCCTATGTGAACGCCCTCCCTGGTGGGGGGAGGAGCGGAGGCATCCCGCTCCCTCCCCGGTGATTCACCCGGGCTGAGGTCGGTGGCTTTGTTTTGTGCGCTGGGGGGGTAGCTGAGCCGCCCTTCCCCGCTGCCCCTTATCTCGCTGGACTCGTCAGGCAGGCTGGCTTTGTTGCCTGCTCTTTGTGAAGAATGGCTTTGTTCACATAACAGGGAAGAAGTGTTAGCCCCCCTCCCCAATTTGTTATTTTCTTTTAAAATCCGTGTAAAGTGGTGGATTGGCTAAAGCACAATAAGGAAGTGTCAGGGTTGGAAAGGTGTTCGGTTTTCCTCCAATGCCAAAAGCGCTCAAAAGAGGGTTTAAACAATGTTTTGGTTGTATAAAGAACAGTAAAGCCGATAGTGCCTGTAGGGCTCAAAATGTCCTGGGAAAAAGAGAAAGCCGCTTTGCAATTTCTGTTTTACCCTGTCTTCTCTAAAAGCCAGTGTAGAATGATGGTTAGAGTGTTGGACTAGGATCGGGAAATCCATGTCCAAATCCCCACTGTGCCACAGAGGTTTGTTGTGTGACCTTGCCTAGTCATTCTCAGCCTCACTAGATGGATGAAATGGAGCAGGCTAGACCAATAATGTAGGCCACTTTGGTTCTTACTGGGGAGAAATGTAGTAGTTTAATTAGATATTTAATTAAATAAATATTTAGAAGATAATCAAGGTTGATCTTGTGACACCTTTAAATTCTAGTAGATTTACAGTGTAGTCTTAAACATGTTTACTGAGGAATAAGTCTCGTTCCGCTCAGTGGGGTTTATTTCCCAGTAAATGTCTTATTGTGCCGAAAGCTTTTTATGGATTAGAGTCCACTTCATCATGTATCTACAGTGTGTCCTTATTGGACAGACTGTACACATATTCAGAGAGAGAAAAGAAAGTAGTAAGCAGTGGGATCAAAAGCCAGTGAAGTTCAAGTCTAGTATTTCTATGCAAAGAAAATGCATAGTTTCTTGTACATCTTTGAACTTTGCAGAGAAATGTCACATACTGTGCCTTGCATTTCCTTGTGAGTGTGTAATATAATGTACTCAGGATGCATATAAAGCCATGGTAAATCTGTTACTCTTTAAGGTGTATCTCTCTTTGAAGCTTCTCTGTTTGGTCAGCAATGAAATGTCTTGGAAGATTAAAATGTTCTCTCTCTAGTTTTTAAATCTGGTAGTTTTTAATGTTGGATTTATGTCTCTTCTTTTGCTTATGGACTGACTTATTTGTCATATGTAGGCAGTGGAAGGGCACTGCTGGCATTTGTTGGCATATTTAATGTTGGAAGATGAACAAGTGTATGAACCTGAGATGTTATGGTTAGTGTTGGTCTGTTTCTTACTACAGCAGGTTATTGCAATTTCAGAAATGTCTGTTGTAGATTAGGGATTAGAACAGATGAAACTGTAGTGTAGAGCTTGGCTGTAGACAATGGATAGTTTTGTGTGTATAGGATGGTGGCTGGAGGTGTGTAGACATGTTTAGCAATCAGTAGGTTTCTGATATAAGTGTTTGTTATGCTAACATTATGTATTTGTACAATGGTGTCTAGCAAATGTACTTCTTGTGTGAGTTGTTTCATAGATCGATGGTGGGGAGGAAGTTGCTGAAGGCTTCATAACATTTCTCCAGTGCTTCTTTCTTATCTATTCAAATTATGAAAATGTCATCAATAAATATCAGGTACACTCAACATCCATGATGGCCCAAATAGTGTTTTCTGGAAGATTGTGAACAGATTGTATTTTTCTCAGGAAGTCTGTGGAGTCTCATACATAACTGGGGACATTGGTGACATAGGGTCTGAGAATAGAGTTAACATATCCAGACACCCCTAAAGTGATGGTAAAGGTAAAGGTTCCCTTGCTCGAAAGCCAGTCGAATCCGACTCTAGGGTTGCGGTGCTCATCTCCGTTTCAAAGCCGAAGAGCCAGCGCTGTCCGAAAACGTTTCCGTGGTCATGTGGCCGGCATGACTAAACACCAAGGCACACGGAACGCTGTTACCTTCCCACCGAAGTGGTACCTATTTATCTATTTGCAATTTCTTGCATTCGAACTGCTAGGTTGGCAGAAGCTGGAACTAGAGATGGGAGCTCACTCCATCATGCGGCACCCGGGTCTCGAACTGCTGAACTACTGACCTTCCACATCCAGGGTTGTCAGGATTGTGTATTTTGAGCAGAAGATTTTTTTTAAATGCTTAGTTGAGGTTATTGTGGTGTGTCCATATAGATCTATTCCTGTATGTGTGTGGGTAAGTCTTTCATAATCCTGTTAAGGATAGTCATTCAGAGAATGTGGTATTGGAGAGTTGTCTTGGCTTCTGACTCCCAAGATCTCCATTCCAACTTGTCTCTGACAAAGGGAGCTTTGATTCTTGAAAGCTCATACCCCCAAAATCTTGTTGGTCTCTAAGGTACTCCTGGACTTGACTCTAGCTGTTCTACTGCAGACCAGCACAGCTACCCTCTGAAACTTTTTTTCAGTGAGTTTGCTTGGAATTAGTTATGGTGATGCAGCGTTTTTTGGAAATGATGTATGCCTTGTCCTGAGAGCTGTTAATGATGATAGGAAAGGAATACTGATAAAATGTGTACTGCAGGTGTTCCCCATTATGTCATGTTTGGACTTGTAACTTTTTAATGGCATATGCAACTGAACTATAAGTGTAAGTTTACTATTTTTGCAACTATACAAATGGACATTTTTTCTTGATTAAAATTTGTTGAATGAGACTATAAGTGTAATATACCTTTCAGTTTTAGAAAACAGAATCTCTTTGGTTTGTAATGTTATTGTACAACTATGCTGTTAAATTGTATCAGTAGACAGGATGCAGTGCCCAAAACACCTGTGTGGTTAAGTTATACAAAATAAATGCTTTTCAGCACTATTAGGACAGCTTTTTGTTTCCTGTTGAAGTGTTTCATTCTATTGTTGATAGAAGAGTCTGGATGGAACATTACTCACGGGATAAAAATTTTATGTTGGGTCATAAAACAGTATTTTGCTTCAAAGGGCACAGGACACAAGTAGAAAATGAACTTCCTCATAAAAATATTAAAGCCCATGCCTTTCTAGTAATAAAAATGATTACTGAACCACAGAGGGATTTTTTAAGTGCTATATTAACCCTGCTGTGGTATTGCCATGTTATCACTTTCTCTGGATACCAATATATGTTTTTAGAGGACAAAATACATAGTTCAAATAAGATTAGGGTGGGTAGCTGTGTTGGTCTGAAGCAACAGAACAGAGTTTGAGTCCAGTGTATCTTTAGAACCAACAAAATTTAATTATTGGATCATTCCCCCCACCACCTAATTCACCTCTGTCAGATTCCTCCACTGCAGACTATTTTATCAACTGCTCTGGTTTTGGCAGTACTTACAGCTCTTCTGCCTCTGAGTCCATCCCCAAGAACACATTGGACAAAAGAGGCTCGGCCTCTGAGCCCCCTGGTGAAACCCCAGTACAGCTAGGCATCAGTGGGCTGGGAGTTAGAGCTTATTCCACAGGGATGGGGGCTGTGGGACAGGGGGTGATGAGCACCCGTCCCCCACTCTCACCCTCATGGCACAGAGGGATGTTGACAGTGAGGTGGGAGGGTGTGTCCACGGGCTCTCAACCATAGAACCCATTGGCTGAGCCCCTCTTCCTGGCTGTAACAGAGGGACAGGTGATGGGTTGGAGCCCCGAGCTTTCGTTAAAAATGGCAGTTCATGGGTGGATTTTGAGAGAAGCATTCTCATGAGCCGAGGTCTAATGAACTACAAACCGGCCAAGTCTGGGATGAAATTAGGTTTGTGGCGAGGTTCATGTGCATCCCTAAGGACACTTGCTTTAAACGAGGGGGGGGCACTATCTCTTGAGCAGCAAGTCCCAGGTGAGCAGATTAGAAAGGAAATATATATCATGATAATTATATGAATGCACTTACGTGTTCTGCAGTGGCCTCAATATATCTAGCTTTCAACATGGCCCCCATCTGTGGATACTTGTCTGGAGACTGGGGTCAAATTTTTCTACAAATCTGAGAATAGCTCCAGGTTTCTACAAAAATCTGAAATCTTAAAAACAAACAAAAACATGAGGGTTAATTACTAAATAACAGAAGCAGAGCCTGTAGCTTTAAGAAACAAATGCAGCTTCAACAGTATTGCCAGTATTCAAGCCTTGGCTTCTGTCTGTAAGAGGCAGAGCCCTTTCCAGGGCTGTTTTGACCTTTGAGGGAGGACTGACTGGGACCAGGGCCGGCTCACCCACTAGGTGCACTAGACTTTTGCCTAGGGTGGCCCCTGGGGGAGGGTGCCTGCCGCCCTGCCCCCTGCCAAAAGCCCTGCTCACAACTCGTGTGCGCACTCCTTGCTGCCCTGCACCATGCGCCCATCGCCACCATCCTCACCTTGCCTCAACAAGCCCTGCTCAGCTCAGGCTGCT